TGGGCAGGCCTGGGAAGTAAAGGCAGGTGCCTGGGTTGTAGTGTTCTAGAAGTGGCCGAAAATCAGGGCCCTGTGGTGGGCGCCCACCGGCAAAGTGTGGGGCAGGACGAAAATCAGGGCCCTGTGGTGAGCGCCCACCGGCAAAGTGTGGGGCAGGATGCCTGGGGCAGACAAGGATCCCTTACACGAAAGGTTTTGAATACAAATTCAACAAACCAGGAGCAGTTTGGATTCAGCCTTGAGACCGGCTGGGTGGCCTCGGCCACCTTTGCACTTGGGCAGTTGTGGAATGAAAGTGTCCTGGTACCTTTGGTGTAGCTCTGTGCCATTGAAATGGATTTTTCTTCAGCATATGCACTCAGTAACGTGAGGCCTGAGTTTTAATACTCAATGATTTTGGTACAAGCTTGCATAGGGCTCTCTTGCTGGAGAACTAGTGAAATTACATGGTTGCACAAAGCCAGGGAGTGAAAACTGAGCAAATGGGATTTTTTATATAAATGCTATTTGGAATGTTGCCTTAAAATGTTTAACTTCAGTGGTTGACTAACACTTGCATTAGAAGTAATCTTTGACAAATAATCAACACTACCCGCCTCTCATCTTGAGAGGTATCATCTTGATACCTCATCTTGATACCTCTTGATACCTCATCTTGGCCTAGGTTTACACTAACAAGTTCTGTAGACACAATTTCTTAGGGGCAAATTATTTATTTTACAGTGTTTTGCTGATAGAACTAACCTAGTACAAATATGGCTTAGAGGCAGAAAGTATGACTTCACTGATACTGTTTAATTTGCTTGCCAAAGTAGTATAATGTGCACAGGCATTTGTGTTGGTAGAGCTGTCTGCACGAGGAGGCTGCTCCAGTGTACAGCTGTGATAGAGAATTATCTGCACTTAAAAGGTTTCCTGTGGGCTTGGAAGCTGATGACACACCCCATCATTTACCAAATGTGCTACTGCAGTGTTTCTGCTCTGTGTGATCCTTTTGAATTAATTTGTGCTCTGGGAGTAGCATTATTAAGGGATGGGCTGCTTTTTTTTCTCTCTTCTCTTTCCCCCAATCCTGCCTTAAAATGACCAGTCCAGACCGCATTGCTATTTTTCAGCAGCCTCCAAGGTGTTTCTATGGTGGAAGCATCCAAAATACTGTCCCAGAAACTTTAATGTAAAAGTGCAGCTAATGCAGCACAAGACCAGTGCTGGTGCTACTGCCACCATCTTCTCCTTTTTACAGTTGAGAAGTTCTTTAGCCTGAGCAATAAAACACCTGAAAAACTCCCCAGCACCCCCAAACCCTCTCTCTGTCTACTCTTATGTGGCAAGGAAGTGGAGACTAAATACAGATGTGGGCAAGCTGGGCAGGTGTGGTTGACAGCATGTCAGCTATACCCTGAGAATTTGCAAGGCAGTAGATTATTGGGATAAATTTAGGGATAATAGTCAGCCTTTCCATTTGCTAATCCTCTCTGCTACTGACTCCCTCTGTGGCTTTTGTAACCCACCTCAGCTCTCTTACCACTCAGCTTTCCCCTCTGAGAAATAACATTTACCTTGCACTTGTGAAGTAGGTGAATCAGCTTTAATTAACATTTGTCGAGCCCTTTGTTGATAAGTTCCCCGTAAAGGTAGTTATTATTTTTTATTAACACGCAGATATTCTTAGCACCTGAAGTGAAAAATGACACAACACTGGGGATCTTCTGGGAAGCAGCCCTGTGAAAGGAGACGGCGCATGCTAACAAAGGCTTTGTCAAATCTTTTCTGGCTGCGATTCACATGGTAGTTTGCTCCTAAAGCTGTGACTCAAAAAAAGAAAAAAATCTTCTCGAGTCACTGGGAAATCTTAAATGTTCCTGGAAGTTAAGCCTTGCCTTTGCATAAGATTTGTAGATCTTGCCCCCTTGCTGGATTTCTCGCAGAGCCTTCAGTCAGGGTTTGGTGCAGCTGTGTGTGCGTGTGGCATCAGCTGCACAGGCGCAGCTGCTCTCACCTGCTTTGAAACACCTTGCTTCAATGATTTCAATCGTTTTCAGCAATCATTGCCTCAAATGTTTTGGGTAGGGAGGGCTTCCCTGCTCAGCTGGGTGGTAACCCTTACAGGCTACAGCCTGTCGCACAGGTAGGTGGGGCTGTTTGGGGGTGAGAGGGGAGGAGGGAGACCTTGCCCTTCCCCACGGGCAGCCCAGGTCAGCATCTGTCGCCCTGCAGTGCGTGCAAAGGCCGTCTTCGCTGCCAAAGTAGCTTGGTGGCAAATGGAGCTGAATAGCTTCATTTATGAAAGGTAACGAAGACATGAGTTGAAATGGTTATGGTTGTGCTTGTTCTGTGTTGCTGTGTGGGTGCCCTTTTGGCAGGATGAGGAGCTCTGTTGTATTTTGGGGAAGAGAAGGCTGGTAATTTAGCTCTAAGATGTAGCGGTGTAGCAGTGGCCAGATGGAAGATGCTAAAATGAAACGCGGGGCTGGAAAAGCCTCCTTGTCTGTGCCTCTGTCCTGAGGCCAGGTGAGAGATGAGATAACTCAGCTCCAGACTAAAGAGTAATGGATGTTAGTGCAGATCTGGACCAGGGGCAAGTTCCCCCTGGGACTTGATGAAATCCTGGTCTCAGAGAGCCTGATACCTCATCTAACTCACTTGTGCAGTAAATTAAGCAGGCCGCTGTGTCTCTCGCCTTCAGAGAACAGGGAGCCCAGTGGATGGTTGTCCTTCTCATAAACAGCTGTTAAATGCCGAGAGCTGATAACGACCCTGGAGGGGAGCAGGGATGGAGAAACCCTTCAACAGCTGCTACAGTGCTGTGTGTTTTACCCCACTGACTGCTCCACTTGTTGCCCAGACCCTCTGGTTTGCCTGTGGCTTTCTTAGGGGTGGTACCCAGCACTGAGCATGCCCTTCCAGCCAAGAATTAGGAATTTTATGTTCTTAAATCACAGAATGATGTTTAGCAATTTGCAGCTGGAGCTGTGGTGTGACAGCGCTGACGCGTGTCGCATTTTTAGTCCACATTACCTCTGTCCAGAGAGCTTTACCCTGTGCTGTATTTGTGTGCTTGATCTTTGTTTTTGCTGTTTCCAAATGCAGTTCTTTGCGTTGTTTTCCTTGCTTTTCTTTTTATTGATTTGTGGGTGTTTTTGGAACTTTTCTTCAGTCTATCAATTCTGATCATGACTTCCAGAGTGCTTCCAGCTCTTAACTGCTGAGCATCCTTTCAGGTTTTATAAAAGTACTTTCTCTTTCATTGTTCAGGCCATTAATGAAAAGGATGAATAGAAGCAGACCTGGACTGAGCTCCGAGGGCCCATATGTGAGGTTTTCTCCCATTGTGACAGGGAATCGTTGATAGCTACCCCTAAAGTGTGTGTGTGTGTGTGACTTGTTTTGGTTTGATTTTTTTTTTTTTTCCCCTTAGTAGTGAGCACTGTACCTTGTTAAGGTGAGCTCACCTAGTCTGAGTTTCTCTGGTTTGCCTGAGAGCATCAGATGGATAGAGTGAAATGCCTGCTTTAATGCTGTTATGCTGGTTGGAGGTGTGATGGGCAGATCTCTGTAGCAGGGGAGTTGTGCCCCATTTCTGAAGACTCGGGTGATTTTCAAGAGCTTTCATGAACCTCATTTAACTGGTGCTTCTTGTTGGCACTCACTAGCACTAACATTGCTCAGAGGCAATCCTCTGGTCACTCAGCCCTGCTTCCCACTGAGGGCTCCTCATGTGTTTCTGCTTTGGTAGCAGAGGGGTATGTATGGGGGGAATTTGTGTCTGTAGTGTCCTGTTGCCCTTTCTTTCTCTGTAGGTCTGTCCTCAGTGAGAGTTAGGCATGTCTGTATGTGACTAAGGTAGTAAAAATACATTTTTCTCCTCAAGCAATTTGAAGTTCCTTGTGCGGTTGCTCTGCTCTGGGGAAAAAAAAAAAATATTTGCTCTGGAAAAATTAATTACACTCATTTTTATCCCTGAATAGTGTGTTGCTGTGGGGGCAGTTGCAGGATACCTCATTCCACCAGGGCTCTGCCAGTCACCTTCTCAGCACAAACTAAGCTTAAGGAAGAGGAGTTACTTTAACTGAAATACATTTAACTGGAGAAAACGTCACTGTCCAAACAGGACCAGCTCTAACCACCCCTGAATTCTGTAAGTACTGAGCTGCTGTGTTAATCTTTTTGAATTTTGAGAGGTTGGTCCTTTTCTGAAGTGCGCTTCCACCCACTATAGCGTCTTTCTTTGCACATTGGTGTAACTGTGGGGTGAAATTTGGTCCCTACTGAGTTCAAGGACAACACAGGGTTCCTCTGTGGTTTTTATCTCTTCCACCTCTGAAGGCTGGTAACTTGATGTAGCCGGCCACAGCTGTTTGCACAGGCTGTGCTTCAAGGACATCATCGGGAGGATGGAGAAGCTGTGCCCTGTTTGTTCTCCTTTACTGGTCCACAGCTGGTGGTGGGTGCCTTGACCAAATTTCAGTTCCAGGGGAGAAAATTCAGCCTCCCTAAAGTGTTCCTCTTGTTTCTGTTGGATTCTTCCTTACTTCTCTCCAGGGGGGCTGCGTGCTGTAGTTAAATACTGGTAGAAAGGTTGTGTTCCACTCTGGATGATGGCTGAATCTCAGTGGTGGAGGAATTGCATCCCAAGTCCAGTTTGCAAAGCTCTTTTGGCTTTGTGGGATGCAAGAAGCTATATTTTATTCTAGATGTGTGTTTGCTGATAATTGGATAGGATTTTCAGTGAGCAGGTTGTAAGAGTCCTGATTATACTGGTTCTCTGTGCAGTCAGACTCTTTGCCCAAATAATTCAAAAGCCTGCTGCAGAGAGAGGAAAAGGAAGATGGAAGGATGATTTAGAAACCTCTGGGTCACTGGCATAGGTGGGAAGAAGATGCATACGTTGATCTGAAGGAGATACTGAGCCAGATATATGCCTTTAAGCATCTAAAGAAAAGTCAGGATTTTTTTAATGGCTGCCTACTTTAAACCCAAATAGTCTCTTTAATGAGAGTTTTTAAAGGTTTAACTGTTAATTTTAGAATTTTTATTTCAAGCATGCCTCCATAAAATTAACTTTTTCAACGGAGAACGCTTTAATGTCTTCCGTGTTGGTGCTCATTTGCAAGAAATCTATGCGCAATTATTTCTTATGTACCAGTTAAATCTATCAGCCAACAGATGTCAAGTGTAGCAAAAATGCTATAATAATATTATGGTCTAATAATAGTTATAATGATTCTAATTACCTGGCTCGGCTTTTGAGAGAGGCAGACTCAGAAATTAGTGCAAATGGGATGTTTAACCTTGAACTGCAAAAGTAGGGCACTTTCAGAGGTGTTTGGGCTGTACCCCTTCTTCCCTACTGGGCATCCCATTCCTTTTATTTCCTCCAGCAAACCAGGAGTAACAGTCTGGTCTGTTTGAAATGTTCAAACCTTGTTCTTGGTATGTTCAGAGGTGGATAAAAGTGCTGGTGAGCTGTAGATGACCATATTCCTTAAAATACCCATAAATGTGAAGACTGGTCATTTTTAACCTGATGCTGCAGTCTAGCTGCCCCGGTTTCGGTGCGCTCCCACTGCCTGATGATTACAGCATGCACAGATTGCTCTCACCTCAGGAAGGCTGCAGGAGGCTCAGCAATCTTCATCTTTTATGCAAGCCAGTTGTGCTGCTTTTAAGTGCCAGGGAGGCTTTGCCACAGCCTGGAAAGCACAAAGCCAGTCTGAATCTGTCCGAGTGCTGCCAGGCAACTTTCATGCTGTCCACTGATGGGAGAGTGGGTGTGGGGGTGTGCAGGTGAGCAGACGTGAGTTGTTGATCCCAGTGGAGGCTTTGGTGTGAGAAGTGAGGAGAGCATGTCAGCAGGTAGGAGCCAGCTGCCTTGCTGGTGCACGAGTGCTGCGCTTTGCCTTCTGCAGTTTGGACCTGCACAGCCTTGTCGGAGTCTCCATCCCCAGTGCAGGAAGGATGCTCTGTGTACCAGCTCTTTTATGTCACTCCCAATGCCTCTCTACCACCATATTTTTCCTTTAGGAAGGATCCAGGGCTGCATTCTCTATATTGCAGTGTTTTTTGCGCAACCTTGCTATGTAGTGTCTTGGGGTCCCAGTGCTCATTATTATTGTAGGACCAATAAGGTGATGATGCATAATGGATCACCCCTTGCCGCAGCTGTTCATTTTAATTTTGCAATGTGAAGTTGGTGAGGAGTCCCTGATCCTCAGAGAAGGATCCTTTCTGCAGAGGAAGGCCTGCACAGGCTGGAGGTTGACAGCTTTCAATGATTATATGCCAGGCTCAATATTTTTCCTCTAAATAATAGATTCACATGCTGATGAGAACTCAGCAGGACCTACGGGATTTCGGCTGTCAGTTGCTGATCCCTGGCATGGGCAGCAGCTGTGAATCTTCTACTGTCTTCCTGTAAAATGGGTCCAGAGGTGCCCTTGCAAGGTTTTCTTCTTCATTTCCAGCCTACTCATAGGCTGGCATGCTCCACTTCTTGTGAAAGCCCTGCCTGCCAGCGCCACTCACACTCAGCGCAAGCAGCCCACACTTTTCTGGGGCTCACACCAGTGAGAGCTCTGCCATCCTCAGCATTCTATTTGGGGAGGTTTGCCTTCTTGCCGGAGTTGCTACCTCCACTGCTGCATCACCATGGAGATGGGGCCGTAGGAGCTGCAGGGCACAGCCTTTTCCAGGCTCATGTGAAGAAGGATGCAGTAATGGGCTACTCTTGTTTAGGGGAAAATCTCTCAGAGTAAATAATTTGTCAAAGAACACTTGGCATTGGCCCAGATGCTATTAAGGAAAAGACAAATCTTGGATCTGTTCAAGCCCAAGCTGTAAGGCTCATGTAATATTCACTTTCTTTTTAACATGCTTCTTTGCTTTGCTCAGCATCAGGCATTGCTGCTGTGACCCACACTGACTCACTAACCTGCTTGTGCTTTTACCTACCCTGAGAAACCAAAGCTCCCTTTGTCTTCTGTTCCTGGCAAATACTAGCAGTGTATTTCTCATCCTGCTACAAGAGCACCTTTCTGCATCCCTTTTCTCAGCCTGTTGAGAGTCTAGATTTTCACTGCTCTGACTCAGTTGCAAGGGTTCGCTTCCCTGTGACTGGTATGGCTCTGGCTGGGTTTCCAAAGGACACAAAGGGTGCGTAGGTGCATTGAGCTCTCATCCGTGCAGAGGAGTACAGGCACCTCCCCGGCTTGGCAGACTGTGCCAGTGCACCCCAGCCCCTGAATGAGCTCGTGCTGAAACCTCCTTGGAGGTTTGGGGATGCTGCCCTTTCTGCTCACCTGGCACTGGCGCACTCTTTCTTTGTCTAGTTTCTGGTACGCTGTCTCAATAAGGTCTAGAAGAGCCCTCTGGCACCTCTCTGCCTCACTGCCTCCACGTCTCATTTCAGACTTTATCTGTAAACATCTCTTTGCCCTTGTGTAAACATATCTTTGCCACTGTGTCTCTTAATTTCTCTCTGCAAGAGTATTATTTAATTTGTAAATGTTTTAGGACGTTATTTGAAAAATACGATATGAAGCTGTATTTCATTTACTGTAATGATCCACTAATGCGGGCGTATTTCAAAGGCAGGCTACGCAGTACTGTGGGGTTTAATTAAATTTTGTTTTTCAAGTAAGCATCAATAGGCAGACAATAACAAATGGTGGACAATGTGCATACAGAACAAAGTCACTCCATTTTCTTTTCCAAGACTGTGGAAGTAAAAATGTGTAGCCCTTAAAATATACTTGGCCTGCTCACAACTGTTGCGTGAGTGCAGTTACTCACTTTAGGGGGAGTTTTTTCTTCTTACTCTGACTTAATTTTCTTGATCTCTTCCTGCCCACAGAATAAACTGTTATGCTATGGAAAATTTCCAGCGGGAGCTTGGGTGAGCTGGGTTCTGCTGCAAGCTCTGGACTTAGTTTTGAATATTGTGTTGCTTAATGCCTTATGGCTTGTAGAGATGGGTCCTTGTGAAGGTTGAAAACCGAAGGGCTGGGTGTGAGGTTCTTGTTCCTTCAGTGGGAAATACCTGTCTCCAGTGGCTGGATGTGGTGTGTGCCAGCACTGGTGCAGGGAGGTTGCCAGGAGGTAAAAATGATGTTGTTGCATTTGACATTGTTATACCCAAATTGGGAATAAGCAAGTGGTTCTTGAGTGCCTTTCATTCCTTTTCTTCCAGCAAGCATGGGGTAATCAAGTACAAAATGTATGCAGAGAAGCTTGGAAAGTCTGTTCAACGTCAGCAGGAGGCTGTTGGAAATCATAATGGCACTCACAAGCATGATGCCACTTGTACCAGTTTTCTAGGGGTAAAAAAATTCATTGGTGATGACGTAAATGGGCTCCTTTGTTTGGGTTTGTGCAGAGCATTGCTTGAGGAGCAGAGAGATTGCTGGCTGGAGCATCACTGAGTTCTGACTGGTTTCTGGTGGCTAGTGTGGCTTTTGTTCTCACTTAGTGATTGGGAAATTTTCCATTGTTTAGAAACATAACCAGAATTTGCTGAGGAAATCAGTGTGGGTGCCCTGGACTCCCAGAGCACTACAGCCCTTTGATTTCTCTCTGAAATCTCTCCAAGTCAGAAAGCTGAAAAAAAGGTAAATTTTTGAACAGAGGACTGGGGGGTGCTTCTCTGAGAGATGTGAGTTCAAGCAGTGTCCTGGATTGATGCCTAAAGCTTTGCCTGCTTAACCTGCCTGCAAATGGATCCTGTGCCGGGGCAGCGGGGGGCGTGGGCTGGCTGTGCCTGCTGCTGGCTCTGCTCGCTGCCAGCTGACCTGGGGTGGGTCACTGTCCAAAGAGCTGTTGGGTGGAAATTGGAGCCTGTAAAGCCTGGGAGAGGCTGTGGGAACCTGGCTGTCGACTGGCATCTCTGCAGCTGTAAGTGCCTGAACAGCATCGCTGTAAGTGACAGACTTCTGTCTGCTAACCTCCTCCTCCATGAGATCTCGGTTTAACACTTCCTGCATTACAGTAACAGCCTGTGTTTTGCTCCTTGCTGGAAAGCCGCGCCACGAGTACTTTACAGTTCTCCTGGTGCACGTACTGGCTGATGGTGTTTTCTGCACTGGATGAGATGCTCGTAGGAAACAGTGATCCTGTCCAAATAAGGCTGGCAAAGCGGTGTCC